TTATTCTGCTCAATTTATAGTGTTAGGTGTTTCTCAGGTACAATGGGTAAAAAAATAAAATAAAAAGAGAGGGTGCAAGAAAAAGCATGTTTCCTTGCCTGTAAGACAATAAATGAAATGGTTTCAATGATTCCGTAAACAAGAAAAATATTATTTGGGGAATCGGAAAGTCATGAAAACATATGCAGGCTTTCGTCACATTCAGCTTGAATATGTTCTGATATTTATTCAATGTATGTTCGCTGGTTATCTGTAGAAAGTTTCTACACATTTAACTCACAACTTTAAGAATGCACACCAATATATGTGTATGTGCCAATTTAGAAGTGGTTACATTTGACTGACCACATTTAATATGATGTCAATTTGACCACTAGTTGGCTTTACCTGCAACAAATTTTACTGATCAATCAGTTAATAAGAATTTAAAAAAAAATATATATATTACCTGAAGTGTCGTCATACAGGATGTTTTGCAATTTCCTATGAATAGGAACTTGTTTATTTAGTAAGAAATGTTGTTTCTTTAACTGGTTAGGTTGACATAAAGATGGTTTACATTGAAGAAAATACATGCAAGGAATGATGCAAACTATTTTTATATCAACATGGGGAGCTAAAGAATAACTGTTTTGACAAGTCTCTAATTATTCATGGACAATTAAGGAAAACCCCGTGTGTATGTATGTGCGTGAATATTTACAATAGGGTGGCTTTTAGAAGCATCCAATTGTACTAAAGAGAATACAATGTCTACATGTAACTGGCCACTCAGAGATGATAATAGTAAATGGAAGAGGTTTTATTTTCACCAGGGGAACTATATCAGTAATGAATAGGTACAACTGTACACCTGATGTTAATTAAGCAAATTAAGGAACAGGTAATTTCTATTCATAAAAAAAAAAAAAAAAAAAAACAAATTACCAGAGATGAGAGGTCAAAAATTCTGATCAAAAATATAAATTCTCATTTAATGATTTAAAGCTTCACAACTGCCATTGCATTTTTTTTTTTTAAGTAAATAAATGTTATATAATTTAAATCTCTAAATTGACACATTTCTAATATTTTAGGGGAAAAAATTGCGTGTGTTTACTTAATCAGTAATAAGAGCTGCAATAATTTTTGCAATAAATGCAGGCTTAGTTGACTGCAAGTTATATATAAGCATTTAATATATTATAAGCATTTAATGGATTCTTTTTTATCCAAGATTATTTCTTATTACTATAAACATTACCTTTTAGTAGGTACATGAATCTGAGTAGATATCCCCATTTTTTAAACATTGAAATTAATGTCTACTGGTCTAGAAATAAAAAAGATTATTCAAGAAAATGTGCCTCCCAACAGGAATCACACCTGTATTCACTTTTTAAGTCCAAATGTGCTTTGCCGTAATACCATGGGAATCCCTTAGAGCAAAGCAAAGCTTAATTACCTCATTCAAGAAAAGCACATTTGTCATTGAAACATTTTTAAGTATATATCTAACTTTATTTTTATACCCGAAATGCAATCAATCGATCTTTTAATCTGATATTATTTGTTATTTCTATAAATGTTATATTTAGAGGGTACTTTTGTTTCCATAGACATGCCTGTTTTTTTTTTTTAACAATGAAAATCTCAAGGCCAGTAAACAATAATTTCACTGCCAGAAAAAAACGAAAAAAAAAATAAATAAATAAACGGGGATATCTAAAAAAACATGTGTACCCAGAAAATATGTTTATAGTAATGAGAAATTATATATATGGCAAACACAAACTGTATGCACACCATAAATTGCAACATGTAAGTCAAATTGAGGAAAAAAAATAGATCTCTGTACAACCAACACAGACTCCATTTAAAATCTACTTTTGAAACATGAATTAGTATGACTGAATAGTAAAATAAATGACTCCCATGACTATAGATATTTTAGACTGCTGTTTGTATTTGCAGTCTTATGTGTCCGTTTTTACTTCCACATAGATTAAGAAGATTTTACAATTTATCATGAATTTGCAGTCAAATGTATATTTGTACGTAAATTTTAAGAAATGATTGATAAATAAAGCCATTGATATAGGAACTAATCATTAGATTGTATTTTTTCATACTTTGAAAAAAACGTTTTTCATTCAACCATGCTGGTCAGTATTACTGGATATATTTAAGATTAGTTGGTCAAAAAAAAAAAAAAAAAAAAAAGAATAAAAATAATGAAAGAAAAAATATCCAGATTTTAAGTTTTCTTGAGCCTTCAGAATCACTTTAAAGAGAGAGAAAAAAATAGATTTTAAGCTATAAATTCCATGGTGCAATTTATAGTGTGTTTAAATGTACTGAGATGAGGATGTTAAAAATGCGTTTGAAATGCATGTAGTCCGAGCGTTCTCTAAAGACAAGCTCAAATTTATGTACACTTCTGGTCAGTTTTACTAATTTACTGTCATAATCCTGATAGTTGCAGCTTAAAATATAAAAAAACATTTTAGTATCAGGGATG